AGTCAGCCGAGTGCCAGGGCGGGAGGAGAAGGGGGCCGGACCGGTGATGTGTGGCGTGACAGAGGCTCCAGGCCTTGCCCCCTGGCCATGAACATCACCGCCCCGCTCCCCTTCACCTCCTGCCGTGGTACTCAGCTGACTTCTGCACCGCTCAGCCAGGCCGCCATGTGGGAGCAAGTGGCGCAAGTGACCATTTGGGCTTTGCGCTCCCCATGCAGCACGGGGAGTGCAGAGCCCAAATGGCTATTTGGACTCCGTGATCCCCCGAGTGAGAGGCAGGAGGGGGAGGAGAGCTGAGAGAGAGAGGGGAAAGCAGTAGGAGGAGGAGGGGGGGGAGAGGGAGGGAGAGAAGGCTCAGGAGAGAAGACCGATGTGGAGGTGAGACCTGAAAATCCCGTCTTATGATGGGCTAATTGGCTAGTTGCTAATAAATAAATGCCTTCTTAAAACATTCATTTCAATTATAGCTTAACTGTGGCAACCAAACACTCAATAAATCCATCCATATTTCAACTTGCAAATAACTGTCCAAGTATTAGACAAACTTTGGCTTTACTATCGCAGTTGATCCTCATCAATTTTGACAGGATCATTTTTTATTTGCAAAATTAAAAGGCAGTAAACAGAAAAGGTGAGAGAGAAGCAGCACATTTATCAAAGGTACAATCTGTTGGGTTAATAAGTGCAATTACAGTGCTTGGCAGAAAACTTCTGGTAATTAATATGCTTCAGGCAGTCTCCTGTTGCTGATTCACACTCTAATCTGCTTAATTTCTTTTCATTTCCTTTCATTAGAGGGTTTATTAACAGTTTGTAATTTCCTAGTTGGAGGAAAAATGCAGAGATACATAAGAAAATTCAAGCACCGCATTAAAACAAACTCCTCTTACCTTCCAGCTGAGTTGAGCAAGGCAGCTGTTGCTATGCAGTATCCGACTATCTGTTGAAGAATGTGCAATGAGCTGGAGATAGTAGAACAAGTGCACTACCAGTTTATATAGCTAGAAGAGCTCCTATCATAACACGGCTAATTAGAGCCCTCCTCCTACCATTTCAGGTTACACAGTGAGTGGCAAAGAAATGCTTAGAAAGTAGCCACTTGTCTACTCTGCCTTTTAGTCTTGGTTTTCTGTCTTGTACCACCCTAAACCCCATCTTTCCGGCTGCTTTTCTGCATTTTTATCAAGCCCGCACCGCTCTGTGCCACATTCAAATTCAATTCTTTAATTGGTGATCTTTGTCTTTTAAGTCACTTAAGAAGAATCCTCAGGAGCCTGAACCTGCCCTGAATCCTCAGGGCTATTTGCATGGTATCTCTTTTGTCCAAGAATGAAACGATTGTTTCTTTTAACACATCAAAACACATATCGATGCAGACGGCTTTTTAGCAGAGAAGGGAGTGAACTGTAAAAATCGGAACCATCCAACTCCCTCAAAACTGAGGAGGGCATCGAAGCCCGGGTTTTGCTTTGGCCAATTCTAATGATAAGAGCCAGTTATGATATAGATTTGGCTTTGGAAACCTTCCCACCCTAACCCCAAGGTGTAAGGCTGCTTTGGGCTCATAATCTGTTTCTCAGCCCAATCCTGTAACATGCGGTGCTTCTCCTCTAAGTGCTTGCCAAACTTATGACCTTTAGTTTGTGAATTGGGTTTTTCCTAGTCACTTGAGAAATTCAAGTCTTTTTTTTTCACCTAGGCCTGTGGGAAGAATCTAGCAAAGTAGAACATTGATATAGTTGAGAAGTTTATAAGGTGAACATACATAGTTGTGAAAGGTAGGGAAATCTAAGAAGGGTGAATAGTGCAAGAAAGGACAGTGAAAACCTCATGAACTTATATCTAGAGCTGGCCAAAATGCAGGATTTGCCGTTCATTGGAAATTATCCTTTGGTTCAGTTCCTAAGGGAATAGATCTATTATTTTAAATTTTAACATATTATGCACACTGGAAATCTCAAAAATAAATTCATTTAGGAAACACTGAAAAATGGTGCTTCTGAAACAAAATCCACTCCGAATAATTGCTGACTGAAACTTATATTTTTGTGACTTTCATGGTTGTTCTTAGCCTGGGGCCATCTGCCTGGAGAATCTGCCCTAGAAGACCTAAGTATTGGAGCCCAGCCCAGGATTTCCAGGCTCCTAACTCTATGGCAAGGCACATGCAAGCCCTGGAAACTGCTCTTCCCAGACTTGCATATGCTGGAAATCCGGAGTCCTGAGCACCGCAATGAGCTGGCAGGTTTTCCATGGCAAAAGCAGTTGATTAGCTAACAGGTTCAGGTTCGATGAATCAGGATTTTCTGACTGCCCTCTGTAAAATTCCGATCAGCTCTGCTTAGATCGCTTGCCCAGAGATTAAAACCACAGCAATTATAGGTCCACAGGAGACCTTTGTGATTATCTTGTCTGAAGAACAAAAACCATAGAATTTCACCCAGGGATTCATACATAGAGCTTGTAGTTGAACTCTAGACCACATCTGGTTGTGTGGCTTTTCTTCCTACCCTGTTGAAAGACAAGCGTTTGCTCCACGTTAACAGATTATTCTATTTATATCTATTGTAGATACCCATCTCTTCTGAGATGGCTGTGATTCACATGCACGGCATTCTGTTCAAGACGGTTTTAACAGTAGAATGTTCTTTCTTTTTCTTAGATGCATCTATGCTTGCTGTTTCTGCTTCATTTCATCCATGTGAGCGTGTCTCTCCCTAATCTCTCTGGCCCCGTCCTTGGGACATTGCCAGACTGTAAGATAAACTGAAACCACGGCTAACAGCACGCGTGTTACATAAGATAGCGTGATGTTATGCAAGGAGGTGCTCAGGGATAATTTTGTTTGCCTTTTCTCATTGTTTGTTATTCTTGGGGAGCCCTTTACTTTTCTTTCCTGTTCAACAACCAGCAGGAGATCAGAGGAAGGAAAAGCTACAATTGGGATTTGGGTAGCCGGATGGTCCTCATATAAAGAGTTTGACCCTAATTATTCTTTTGCAGGAATTGACCCAAGACCTGGATGCTAAGCCATCTTTGCAGTTCTCACACTTTGGGGCTGTTCAAGTATAAATTTGGCTCCTGGTGTAATGTAAAGTAGCCTCTTCATTTCACAATGTTATATTTGTCCTCCCCCAGGCCTCCTAGGTACTATACACAGCAATGAGTAGCTAGAGGACAAACGTGTTGCAGCTCCCTCCCCTCATTCCTTTGATTTGCCCCCCCAGAAGGATGTCTGAACACCTCCTATGGGATCAGATAGCTAATTAACATTAAGACAAATTAAGGAAGAAATACACTTTTTAGTGTATTTTTCCCAGGGAAAGTAATCTGAACCAAAATATCAGGGGGCTAATTCGGGCACATCATTTTTAGGTCTAGGGTGGCCACTCTTTAAAAAGATGTCTGATGAACTAGAAAGGGTTCAGAAAAGAGCTACAAGAGCGATCCGAAGCCTGGAATACGTGTCTTTGCAAGACTCTCGCTGTTTAGCTTATCTGTCAGAAGATCTTATCCAAAAATCATGTAGGGAATCTCCATCCCTAGAGTTGTTTAAGTCTCGGCTTGACAAAGCCCTGGCCGGGTTGATTTAGATGAGAGTGGTCCTGCCTAGAGCAGGGGGCTGGACTTGATGGCCTTCTGAGGTCTCTTCCAGTTCTATGATTCTATGATTCTAATCCTTGTCTATAAATTCCTTCAGAGGGAAGAGTTTTCCAAACAGTAGCCAACTATTCAAAATAGCAGACTAAGGGCTTGTCTATATCGGCAAGCGACTGCACTGTAATGTTCTCATTAGGGGGGTGAAAAAAACATTGCCCCCAGTGCAGCAAGTTACAGCACTGTAAAGTGCCAGTGGAAATGGCTTCCAGCCCTGGGAATCATGCTCCCCACGTGGTTAGCTCCTGGGAGTAGAGTGTTGGGAGACCTCTCTCCTGCTGCTGCTGCCATGACCATGCTGTCACATTAAAGCTCTGCTGAGGCAGTGCTTCAAATGAGGAACGGTCGACAAAGCCTAAGAGATAACAAGCAATAGCGTCTGGAAGATGAAGTTTAATGAATTGACACTAGCAATATGGTGGATAAGAAGAGTCATTCACCACTGGACCGATTTACCTGTCACTTGAGATCTTCAAAGCAAGCTTAGACATCATTGGAAACGATCTCTTTTTGCTCAGCCAGACAGCATGGACTTGATGCAGGAAAACACTTGTGGCTCGATCCGGAAAGGCTCCAGCTGCCTCAGTCCACCCTTTTCTGTACCACTGGCATTTTAGGGCCATTGCTGAGTTCCCGCCTAACCCATTAGGCACCTAAGCCCCCTACTTTCACTGGTTGACATTTTCGAAGCAGCCTTAGTACTCCTATCTGCCCACTGAGATGCTCAGAGCCCTCACTTCAGCATGGAACCCCCAGCAGGGCCTGATGCTATGGCACTTGGAACTGATTAGACCTGGGAGGCATTTCTGCGGGCAGGGCCTGGGCTGCTTAGGTGTCTGACCTGCCTTAGCTCCTAACTGCAGGAGAGGGCTCACAACTGGGGATCCTATCTCTGGCCCAGCAGCCAGATGCACCAGTTCAGCCAGCAGAGCCCTTAGGTGGCTCTCCATTCAGCTGGATGGCTTCTGCTTAGCTGGTTAACTCTCCTTATGCATGGCATGGACAGCCTGGGCACCACTCTGGGTTGAAAACACCAGAGGATGACAGACTGCCTAGGGGTGAGGTGTTGCAAAGCCTAAATACCTTTAAAGCCCCCGGGCATGGTGAATGTCTGTGGTCTGGGCCGTGCAGGAGGTCAGACTAGATAATGATAATGGTCCCTTCAGGCATTAAAAAGCCATAGATCTGTGACTGGCTGATCTCACCTGAACCAGCTTCACACTAGTGTAACTCCGCTGACTCCTGCTTTAGACCACTCTAAGGGAGCTCAAAAACCAACATGGAGCTGCCCAATTCCATGAGCCATCCACAGAGTCTACAAAGTACATTCCACCCTCCGACAGCTTCCCGGTTAACTGGAACTGGGGAGAAACACCAGGGGTGTGGGGGTGACAGGCTTCAATTGTAATTAGTAGGGCTCAGGCACTTTTGGAAGGAGGAGGAGGTGAAATCCCCCATCCCCATTATAACAGTGCCCTCTCGCAAGCTGAGAGAGCCTGGAGCAATGCCATCAATGTGAGCGCTTTCCTTGGGGTGAGTGCACTGCCTCCACATCTCACCTAGCTTCCAGCAACTCTGAGAGGTGCAAGCAAGAGCCACTGCATTGGGCTGATTTCACATTTTGCCAGTACAGGTTGCACCTCCTTTGTTCAGCATCCTTGGGACCTGGCCAGTCCCAAACCAGGGTATTTGCTGGACCAAGGAAGGACAACGCTGGAGCCTTTTGCTGTCCTCCTCCAGGCTCTCCCCTGGTCACCAGGCTTTTGCACAAAAAAGTGCTGTGTAGATGGCGACTTTTTGTGCAAAACCCCCCTTTTGCGCAAGAGCCATTCTTCCTCATTTTTGTGAAGGGGGGTTGGTTTGCGCAAAAAGGCGCCGTCTACACAGAGGTTTTTTGTGCAAAAACCTCTTGCACTAAAGGGAAAGGAAGAGGAAATGCAAATGAGAGTGCGATATATGCAAATGAGTGCTCTACTTCAAAGCAGGAATAAGAGATCCTCCGGAAAAGGGCTTATTTTCCAGAGAATCACGTCTAGACTGGCGCTTTTCTCCAGCTTATCCACGAGCTGGAAAAAAGCGGCAGCTATGTAAATGCAAATCCCGTGGGGGATATTTAAATCCCCCGCGGAATTTGCAATTCCGACGTGCTAGATTAGCATCCATTTTCCGGAAGGGATGCCAGTGTAGATGTAGCCAAGATGTTCCCAGCAGGATGAGCTATGGCAGGGAGAAGACAGTGTGGCATTTGGGCTAGGGCCAGGGACCAGTTGCACTGTTGGATCTAGGTTGTATGTGGAAACAAAGGCTGTAAAGCTGGCCTTTTTCTTAAGCTGCACAGTCACTACATTAAAATAAAGAACTAAAACATTCAGTTTCAAATCACCCACCAACAGTCCATTTTCCCCATTAGGTTATATTGCCAGTTGGGTCATTGTAGAAGCCTTCTATGGGAACTGGGGTTTTGGTCTTCTGGTTTTAGTGTGCATCTCTACAGAGCACAAAGCTTTTGTGGCTCTTGATGTGCTTAGG